TGTTTGCGATTTGATCTGAAGTGTCTGAAAATTCCGAGGGAATAAATCTATTACTTCCTTCGAAAATAAATATTTTCTTAGAGGAAATTTAGCAACATTCGAATTCTCATATGACGTTCTCACTTAGCACGGCAGAGCAATCCTGCGTAGTTACGCTGTTGGATGGCTCGGAAATTTTCTCGATGGCACAGCCCGACAATAGCGTGTACCCTCCCGACGGTCTCCGTCAAGGTCGTCGAGTTTTCGGAAAAGTCTGCGCCCCAGACTTGGAGACTTCGATCGCGGTTCGAGCTTTCCCACGCAACACGCAGGGCCCTCTCGACGACGCTCGAGCGATCGAATCGAAGCGAAACGGCCGGCGAGCCATCCTGTCTGCAGACCCGGCTAGCTTTCCCAGTTTTATTACCTTTTTATTACTTTCCAATCGTCTTTCCCTTTTCATCAGTCTAGCCACCGGCGGACCGTTGCCCGTTGCGTTGGGAAAGGTCAGGGCCAGTTTCGTTTCGTGAGTGACGCCGAAGAGTTTTTTCCTCTCGCGTGCTGCCGAAAAACTGAACGCTCGTGCACCGAGTTTGATGGATGTAAAGAATTAATCCTCCTGTCCCTGTTCGGTGAAAATTGTATTGTTCTCGTCTATTCTCTTTATTTCCTCTCATAAGTCCACTCTAAGTGGATTCGGGTACGGCTAACCTCACCGTTGTGCGAAGAAAAACGTGGGAGCTGTTCGGTATGAAGTGCCACAATTTCCTAAAGCATAGTGATTACGATTCATTTTGTGCCGAGAAATCGTAAGTAGTCCCTTTTATTTTAATTATTATAACTTTTTCATTTCCTTAATTGAACGGGTTATTTCAAGAAGGGCATAACTGCCATAAGTTAAGTTTTGCCAAAACATTAAATTATTTGATTTCCTCGACTATTCATCATATTCATGAACGAAAAAATCAACCCATGTTCTAGTTTAATTTGTCAGGTATAAAACCACTCGCATGTGGATTTAGTTGAAGACATTCGGCAAAAACTAAAATTTGTAAAAATTTTGACGGAGGAGCCTCTCTTTCACAACTCTGATAAATATTGAGAGTGCTGAAGAGCAATTTTGGTATTGTAGAGTATGATGCGGTAGTGCGTAAGAGCTGTCCACCATCAAAAATGAAAGCATATTCGTCGAAAATCCAATTTCTGCAAATTTGACGGTTACGCTCTCCTTCTGATAACCCGTTTAATTTTAATCAACGTAGCACGAGTGGGCAATCTACCGGTCGTTTTCGATACGATTCTATACTGGGGATGCTGGGTACAGGCATGCCGCGTTCCTACCAACCACCGATAATAATTATTGTGGGTTGACTTGTCCTACCTCGTTATTCCCGCCTCCTTATTAGCCTCCGCCGTGGACTCGCGGAAACGTCGCAGCGGAATCTACATCCAGTGTCATTACCTACCTATTTAATAAGCCCTCGCTACTGCATATGAACTACTTCCTCGTCATTTAAAACTTTCTCGCCGTCATTTTGTCAAACCTCCTCAGTCCGCAACTTCTCCGGCATTCATTTTTAAAACTTTCGTCTACTTTTTTTTTATTTTTATTTTTATTTATTTATTTCTTTTGATTACATTTTGCAATGAAGAAACATTACTTCTGACTCAGTTTAAAAACAACGCTTGTGCCATTGGTTTCCTTGCGCAAAAAAGTGCTTTTATGGAAGAGCCAGAGATAGTGGTTCCTTATTGCAAAGTGTAATACATTTGGACTACATTTTGCAATTTGGAACTATAAATTCCAACCCGGTTCAAAAACAACGTATGTGCCATTAGTTTCCCTATGCATATGAATGTTTTTTCAGATGAGCCAGAATTTATAGTTCCAAATTGCAAAATGCAGTCCATTTGATCATTGTTCACGAGAGGCAGTGAGGAATCTTACCGTGTTGCTTCGAAATCAAGTCACTTGCATAATTCGACTAATCTGAACCAATACTGCAATGCTAAGCAATACTGATATAATTCTTCAATTTCTCTGAGCAATTTTGAGTCTTTTTTTATTAGTTTTTGACAATTTTATGAAGGATATATCGTCTCCTTTCGAATCCTCTCTGGAAGGCGATTCGAGGGTCGCGGTTCCCAGGTTATTGAGCAGTGCGCCGGCGCTACCATTACCATTGCGCTGGTCAGTTGGAGCGCGACCGCGTCTTGGACGTTCCGTTCCGTTCGCAAGTGCGAGCGGGGCCGAGCGCCGAGTCGCCCCTCACCCGAATGCGGTTATTATTTATTCACGTTCTGGAAACGCTCGTAATTGGCCCCGGCACTGCACCGATGTAATTTGTATCTTGGTCGCAGCGCCAGTTTCGCTGTTGCCGTCATCGCTCCCAACCCGACCAGCTGGATGATTATTGAAATAGATAGACAAAGCAGCACACAGAGAAGTCAACTGTAAAATAGAGCGATTTTATTGGTTGTAATTGATTAAAGAGGAAAGCAGTGGAGCAACTTTAGGGTATCATGTGTGGATTGCAGTTGTCAATTATTGAAATTGATATACAAAGCAATTTATAAAGAAGACAATAGGAAAGAGGAAAATAAAGCGATCCTATTGGTTGAAATGGGTGGTTGTAAGGATAGACCAACTGTAGATTTACAATTTCCAAATTTTCGAAGGGACGACCCCGCAAAACCCCCTTTTTTACTCGGAGGGCTCAGGTTATGTGTGCCCACTCCCTCGGACGAAAAATCAAAATCTTGATTTCTTCGTTTCATTGCAGATTTCCTCTTCGCGACGCACAGTGGATCGAGTCAATAGGAGCCGCCGGAAAAAAATTGATAACTTTAAAAGCTAAATCTTCGGAAATATGAAACGGGAAAATTCAAAAGTGGCACCATTGGGGTTTTAATGAAATATTTCCCTTCAGTAACATCCCTCGAAATGGAAATCGTGACGAAATCAACATCAAAATTTGCAATTTTAGTCACAAATTTAATGCCCGGCCGCTTTTTATAGCTCGTTCTATGGTGCGACGGTGGATTATTACGTTCGACTTGACACCCACCGGAGCTTTTCCTTTGAATTCCGCGAAAAGATCATGATTCATCGCGGTTGCGGGTGAGGACTCGGCGAAGCGATGCAGTGCAGCAGAGCCCGCAAAACAGGCCGGACAGTAGCGGGCCCATATTCAATTGCCCCATCCCCCCCCCCTCATCGCCACCACCCTATGTTCCCATAAGTTCGTGCCGTTGCACTCCCCCTTGCACCGTGATACCTTCTCTCGCGTTTAACCTTTTCGGCTCCGAATAATTACAGATATGATGTCCATCCATCGCAAGGCCTCGCGTGCTCGAAGAGAGGAGCCCGAAGGTTGCCACGCTCTCCAAGGACCCGACCTGAAAATACAGGGTGTCCCAGGGTAAACGACCAGTGGTGAAGCGTGAATCATTGATTGAACACCCTGTGAAGGAGACCCTTCAGGATTTTATAAATCTTTGTGAACAAATAAATTAGAAACTAAAAAGTTAGAAAAACGAACATTAGGAACAGAATTTTTTGAAAACAAACTGAGAGGCTTGGAGGAAAAGGCGCATAAGTGCAGATTTCGCCATTCAGAGAAATACTTGTTTGAATTTTCGAAATTACATGGATCCTTATGATGGAAAGAAAGTTCAAACTGACTTCTTGATGCTTAAACATTGTAATTTGGGAGCGAATTCTTCTCAGATTATGCATTAAGACTAGTTTTACTTGAAATCGCTAATATCTCACTCGTTTTCAAAAATTGCCCGTATGAGCCTTCTCCTCCAAGCCTCTCAAGTAACCAGTTTTTTTAAAAAAATATTAAATTGGAGAGATTTATAATTAATTTTTTCTTTTTTTTACGTACAACAATGAATTAATTCAAATTAAGCAATCAACTATGAAATAAAATAATTTACCTAGAGGATAATCGTGTTAAATTTTCAGCAAGATTCCCTTAATACTCTAATTTGAACCTGTGTTGAAGAATCGATGATTAAGGTTCTCGTTGCGACTATCCTGATGGTCGATCCTTTTCCTTAAATTTGAATGTCAGATCAATCGATTTAATTGCAGAGCACGACACGCCAGATTGCCGAGTCTTAGTAAACTTTCAATGCTAGTACTTATTTATGGCGTAATGTAATGCAAGTGATGTGTAGCTGATACCTAATGCATCAAAGAAGCGAAGAAAAGCGTTATATAGATCTATTTCGAAACTCCTCCATCCATCTGTGACGTTATTAAATTCGCCGGATGTTGTAACGAAGAATGGGATTCATTGCAACGAGTTTAGTCACTCCTGCGTGAGTCATGTTTTTTACCGTTTCGATAAGAATTAGGAGTCAACGTTTCGTCCTCCATTGTGTGCAATTGAACAGGATTTTTCCTGCTCCTCGCAGGACGCAGATTGCCGCTCAGGTGTCACTGACCTATCCTCTCCGTTTGCAGGTTAGATCAGGTCAGAGGACTCCAACGCTCAGGTCATTACCTGAAGAAACATGGTTTCATTGAACTGACAGTATATCATTGACCTGTGATTTTATGCATGGGCACTTGGGGCAGTGACAAGGAATTCAACAGAGTTGTTGTAGTTTTTCTTTTGTATTGGGCGTAAAAGTCAAAAAGTTCATTAAAAATTTCCAAAAAGCATTTCTTAGGGAAGAAGAAGGTAATCCAAAACGGGCAGTCGAGTTGACGTAGCAAGGCGGAGAGTATAGCTGAATTCAGTCAATCGGTAAACCCTATTAAGTCATCAGGGCCCGCCAAAAATATCGTTTCAAACTGATCTCATTTTTGGAATTTTCATAACGGTTCCATTAAGGATTTAAAAATGTCCGGAAAAAAACCTCAAAAAAAAATGGGTACCACTGATCCAGTAGGTATTGTTTTAAGTGCGCCCATATTGCCTAATGACTCAAGCAAGGCGGAAAGCCTCATCACTCATTTTTGTTTGTTCTCGTTTCCTAACCCTATAATTATTTTTCTGTTACAGGTCAAGAAAGCGAAGAACCCACGTGGGTGTTCAAGAGGATATGAATGAATGTACCGCAGCTTTGGTCCTAATGAGCCTATCTTGCAGCCCGCACTCTCCCAGCTATGGTGAGCATTATGTCCCTCAACGATTCTTCTTATCCTGCCTCTTATCTATCATCCCGCGTTGTCTTTCTTTGCGTCTCTCCTCTCTGACGTAAAGACGTATCTCAATTTCTAAGCGAGACCCATTGTCCATGAAATCCAATGCTCTTCGGGGCTCTTTGGAAATAGAGATACGCCCTAACATCAGAGGAGCGACGTTTTGTTTTATCCGTTTGCAAGCATGATTCTTCAAAATTCCAATTATCAGGGAACGAAAAATACTCTGGAGAGGTCAGTTGCACTAATTATAGAATTGCGTTATGGTAGTTTAAGATAGTTTAGACTAGCAAAATATAATAAGATCCATCCAAACGTCGAATTTCCATGTCCAATATTAATAGTATCATCCTTCGAAGAACTAAGTGTACGACGTCATTTCTCGCATTAGGAAATACCATGGTGTCTTCGACTTTTGACTCAACAATTAGTGATACACACTTTTGCAAAGAACTTCACTTATAACACGGATGAAACCAAGGTGGAAGAAACCAGGGTATATACCACCGAGGTGGATGACGTCATGCGCCATGTTTATAGAGGGTGATATCTCCGTTGATATTTGACGTAAAAACTCGGTATTTGGACGGATCCTATCATTTTTTTGCGGGACTATATAGTGAAACCATCAAAACGCGATTTCGTGACGAACGCAAAATTTTGAACGACCATCGTCGTCAATGAAATCCAGGAACTCAACAGTCTCATTCCTGATTCCGTTTGGACGGGCGCGGCGTCTCCAAAGCCCGGGGTGAACGTCCCGGGGCTAACCCAATTCCGGGGAAATTGCTCCGCGGCGCACACTGGATCGAGTCTATTAGAGAATTCGGACATGACATGTTTCACTAAAACTGCAAATTTAGACGTTTATTTCACCTTATTTTCGTTTATTTCGACGTTTATTTCAAGGGGTGGTTTTCGAAGAAAACTTCACGAGGAAACCAATGGACTCACTTTTATAACCTCAAAATTTTGTATAAACATAGTTTTAAGCATTGAAAGTTTCCAAATTCTGTCCGACCTCCCCTATCGCATCGATCCACTGTGCGGCGGTGGTGGCGGCGGACACGAACATGATGTAACCGTATTTCGCACCGTATCATTACTTTATAAGCCGTTTCTGTTCGGATCCGATATTCTCTCGCTTTTGTGAAATTATCGGACGCGGAGTCGGAGTCGGAGTCGGTTCCAGACGCTCAGACGGGGGAAACCCGTTCACCCCGGTCCCCGATCCCGGAAAGTGCGCGGGAGGGGGGCAGGGGGGTGCCGGAGCCGGCGCTCACGGGGGAAAACAAAGTACAATGACCCGGCGGAACCGGACACGCAACCCACAATGCAGCCGGCGCGGCGCATTCTCATTTCTCGCCGCCAAATTATTGTAATAAACTTGTATCGCATTCGTAACGCCGGGTTCCCTCGCGTTTTATTGCTTGTCCCGCACCCTTTCAATGTGTACACAATAATACATTAAAAAAAAAAAAAAAATGAAAAAAAAGATTTTGAATGAATTTTAGGCGGCTTATGAAATGAAGGGAATTTAACGAATAGCACGTCAGCTCAGCATCCTGAGGGTGTGGCAAACCTCAGGGAAACCCTGGAAAAGTCAGGGAACTTCGCGATTTGCACGTCGGCTCAGCAACGCAAGATTGGCAAACGTCGGGGAAAACCCGGAAAAGTCAGGGACATTTTCCTAGGAAATTGCATTTGCATTTGCAAGATTGCATTTTGCATTTTACAAAATCCGGTTCAGTTTAGAAGCAGTGTGTGCACCATTAGTTTCCCGAAGTTAGTTAGTTGTCAGTGTTTTTACAGAAGAGCTAGAAATTGTACTTCTGAATTACAAAATGTAGTGCATTGAGCAGGCGTATTTTATGCTCAACAAGTTTCTCACCAATCATCATTTGACAAAAACCGGGTTAATTTCTGAGATTCTCAGTGCGGGGTTTCCAAAATATGTTGTCTCTGGATCCTGCTGCCGTGATAGCGAAGAGAGCAATAAGTTTATTTCTGTATGAGCCATGGTTAGCACATGCTTTTATGTGTCTCGAGGTTTATCCCAGACTGCACTTACTGCTCTTTTCGCTATCACGGCAGCCTGGTTGCCCGACCTTTGATCCACGTGCACCGGTTCTCCGGCATTTTCTGCATCGAGCCATCCATCGTGGCATCGATGTATCGTGGGTGGTTTTAAGGTGACGCAGACACGTTGCGCCGTGCTTGGGGAGGTTGACCCCGCCGACATCCCCCCTCCCTCACCCCCGGGCCGCTCCGCAACCCCAGCACCGAGACGACGAAATAAACCAGATCGTCAACCTCGAGAGCGCTGCACCGTCATCGGCGGACTGTTGAGCTTTTCGCGTTTCCCGTTCGTTTTCCTCAAGGTCGATTGTCGTCTGGGATCCGAGTCGCTCCCGTCCTCGCCGGGCGAAAATAACCAGTTTCTAGGATTCCAAGATCGTTGCACCGAGCGCCGCGGATGCAAGGTCGTCGGTTCGAGTCCGGAGTTGAAAAAAGAAATTTAATTTTGCTCAAAAGTCATGGAGAGAGGGAAAATTTCCCCTCCTCCTGCACGGAGAAAAAAACCTCGTGCGTGGGACCCGAAGTAAAGGTCATATGGATCTCTGAAGTTTTCAGATTGAGCATCTGAACACTTTAGGTCTAGCTGTCGAAGTTCGGATCACACATCTGAAACTTCGATTCTTACATCTAAAGTACTTTAGATTTAAGAACCAAAGTTTTTCGGACGTGAAAACCGAAGCACTTCAGATGTAAGAACTGAAGTTTCAGATGTGTGATCCAAACCTCAGCAACTGGACCTTAAGTGTCCAGATGCTCAATCTGAAAACTTCAGAGATCCATATGACCTAAATTTCGGGTCTCACGCACGAAGTTTTTTTCTCCGTGTGCCTTCTCGAAACGTTACCCCTGAAATTTTATCGGACCGAACTCGATATATTCTTGAAATAACAGATAGAGGCATCACCTCTTTTTTCTTAGTTTTATTTTGACCAGGTAGTTTTTAGTCAAATCCAATGTACTTATGCTCGCAGCCAGCTTTTGCGTAGGAAATATGAAGCCGCTGCTGATGTAAGGAATAATAAATAATGTTAAGCGTAGGAGAAAGAAAAAGACTGATTAACCTAAGTAACCTAAGTAAGTTAGCAAGTAAACCGTAAGTACCAAAAAAGAATCCAATGACTCGGTAATCTAAAGAGATGATAAAATGTCCATTTTGTGGTCATTAAAAGGTCATTAACGTATCAAAACTCATAATGCATTAAACTCTTTGACAACTGAAACTGCAAGATAGCTGGGTTGATAATTCGATACAACACGCGCAGCGGCGTGGCGTGCTTAGCGATGTATCGATTGTTCTGCCATTTAAACCTATGGTAAAGAATCGATTATTAAGGTGTTCTCTGCGAACACCCTGTTCATCGATCCTTTTTCATATGTTTAAATGGAATAACAATCGATGCATCGCAAAGCACGCCACGCCACTGCATGCGCAGCGGCGTGGCGTGCCTAGCGATATATTGATTGATCTGCCATTTAAACCTGTGGAAAAGGATCGATAGACAGGGTGTTTGCAACGAACACCTTAATAATCGATTCTTTACCGTAGCTTCAAATTGAGACTTATCGATAATCGATGATTAACGCCTCGCCACTGAACACGTGATTATAATCGATGGTCGAGAGCGTCGAACGCCTAACAAAAAACCATCAGATCCTGACGGAAATGAAATTATACCGAAATTAAGTTATTATCCCCATTATTGGCTGGGGTGTAGTTTTCAATTAAAATTGAGCCCGTCAACTGGAGAAGTTAAGGCCGGAGAAGTGCATTGCAAGTCGCAAGAAGAGGCTATGCGTAACGGTGATCAAGTCCGGATGTGCTCCTCTACACATTTCGAAAAACGCCCTTTTGACCCCTTGCACACCTAAGCCTACATGTTGTCAAATCACTGAGACTTTTTTGGTGTCTGTTTTTGCCCGAAAATTGTAGTAACGTTATGCTTTAGTCTCTGATATTAATAATCCTATGTTAAGTGGTTTTTTTTTATCTTTGTTATTTCTTGGGTTTTTTTTTTTTTTTTTTTTTTTTTTTTTTTTTTTTTTAATGGCTCAAGGTGGTTTGATCGCAGTGATTAGCTCCGTGTTCTTAGCTACTTGTCATTTTTATTGACTTTTGAGATTACATTTCTGTTGTCACGAGACTCGAGGATTAATTGGACTACATTTTGCAATTTGGAACTAAAAATTCTAGCCCGGTTTGAAAACAACGTATGTGCCATTAGTTTCCGCTATGCACATAAGTGGTTTTCCAGAGGAGCCGGAACTTATAGTTCCAAATTGCAAAATGCAGTCCAATTTACCTTGACAAAGAATTCCAGCGTACAATAAAGGCAGTGTTTTCTTAGAGGAGAAGGAGTAATATTGCATTTGCGATACTGATATCTCGACTGCCTTTGAATGCGATATTTTTCCTCTGAAAACCCCTGCCTTTATTACGTTGAATCTGTTTGTCAAATTTGATAAGTGAATTCTTCACTCTCGTGACAACAGATTTACGATCTCAATATTCGAAAAAAATGACATGTAGCTATGTTCGAACATGGGTATAGTCGATGCAATATCGTTGTGATAAAAAATAAGGCGTCCATCGAATCACCGTAAGGTCTTTTTTGTCGTGGAGGGTCGCCATGTTCCAAATCTGAACATAACTGCTAATCGTAGGTTTTCGTGCTGCAGTTGGCAACTCTGTAGGCGAGAGATGTGCAATGACTTCAATGCATGAGTGGTCGCTTTAATCAACTTTTATAATTTGTATCAATCGTCCGAAATTCATCCTGGCGCAGTGTCAGTTCCGCCTTCTTTTCCGCTCGAAGACTCAACAGCGCGCAGCGCACGTAAAGGGGAGTCCTGTCTATTGCCATCGGGAACGATCGTGTTTGTTCTTGCTG